AGAACAGCTGTGCTGGAAAGACCTTGCCTTGGTCCATTTGCACGAATATATGAAGGTAAGTGGGATTAGGTTTTAGGAAAAATCAGTACGATGCTATTGGAAATAAAACAGGGAAAAAATACATAGAAAAAAGCGAAACAATACCGAAGGCATTTTTTATATAGTTATTTCGCATTTCGACTTATCTCGCATACCATCTATGCAACAACACAAATAGATACAAGCACCATTCTCTTATTATCAAAAGATAAAACGATAATACAGAACAGTATCAAATATATATAAAAAAAAACGAATAATATTCTAAAAGACAGACTGGGATGACATGGAATGCACATAATATCCACTTTGAGGTTTCAAAAAAATGTACTTTTTATAACAAGCCTACATGACGTTTGCTTGCGCAATTAACAAAAGCTTACTGCCATTTTAAAAAGGCTAAAACAATGCTAAAATATTTTTTTTTATTATAATGAAAAGAAAAACTTTGCGAGGCAACCCTTTTAGTTAGTTTCAAAAAATAGGCCTACTATCTAAAAAAGTGCTGTTTCAGCTATAAGCCCAAGTCTTTTAAATTGTCAGATCCCATATTCTTATGGAGTATAAAAGGCGAATCACACGTTGCTCTGGTAAAGCAATAGTTTTGTAAAATCGTGTATTTATAATTATCCTTTCAGTTGCCGACAACAATTGCCGGTTGTCTTCATTCTCGGTCAGTGTTTATATTTACATATATTTGCTTTTTTTTTGTATATATAGACATATCGAAGCACTATGATAGCAAATAGTAATGCATCAAAAGACAATAATTTCTTTGTGTGTAAATAACTTCAACGCCTATACAACAAGCCATCATTGAAGAAATCCCTGACATTTTGTTACTGTTATAATAATGGACAAACGTGAAAATAATTGACTGATTAATACTATTTAGGACCTTAGGATCCTCAGGTGAGTTCATATAGTATAACATTGACAGACATGAGTCATCCCTTGTAATAGCAAAGGATGATAAAATTGTGCCAATAAGCGTAGAGACCACGGTAATAATGTTGCTGCTTGGTAACATTTCGTTTCTTACAAAAAAGCGATCCTAAAAACTAATTGAACTATTATGGTAGCCAAAGGGATTCCGACAAACCGTTGCGGCAGAACTGGAAGTCACCTATTAGTCACCTATTTACAAATCATAATCACTGCATCGGTGACAAAAGCAGTAAGGGCAAGGAAACAAAGACATTTTTTGTCAATCCAACTCTGGCATATTTTTAATTGAGTTTTTATGTGGTTTTCCTCACAAAGCAAGACAACCGACTATGAATCTGGTTGTAAAGACTCATTTTCGATATATTTGAGAAAAGTAGAGCATTTATATAGGAGAGAGCTAATGCAGTGAGAGTAAATAAAGCATATACGTTCCCGAATCAGACGTGAAAAGAACTTCTTTCTGCCATACATGTCAAATCTTGTTATAACCAGGTTCCACGTTTTGTCTTCATCCATATAATATCGTAATTTTATTTGACCAGCGCTTAGATGGTCTAGACTCACTTAACACAATGTAAATGAGCTTTATTATTATTTCCCGAACTTTAACTCTTCTAGCCTAGCTATCGCAGTTTTTTTTGTAGGACAGCACCTAAGTCAGATCATTTTATTCCTGTGTACAGAAAAGCATAATATGTCAATCACTTTTCAAAACGACAAAGGCCCCAACTTAGTATGTGTATGTAGTCCTTTTAATTCGTTCCCTTTAGGTAGGTGATTGATATGATAATTATGCGCTAATTTTGAGGACATGCGAGAGGCATCGCTGAGGATGGTAATGCAAGTTAATAGTAGAAAAGAACGTGCCTGCCATGCTTGACAGTGGCTTGAAACGTAGCAGATGGTAAGCACGTTTATAGCCGTCATGAGGAGAAGAAGAAGAGGAGAAGTAGGCAAAAAATCATGAAAAACTCATATCTGCGAGGCGCTCAAGCTAAAGAAAAATGCAAGTTGCTTCTTGACTGGTAAGACGGGATACTAACCGAATAGGAATGGCGTTGAATTCTATAGTATCTAGACATAACTAAGCAGTTTTTAGGACCACTGCTTTGTCCTCTTCCTCACAAAAAAGCTACATGAAAATAATGCCAGTCATGTCCAAAAACACAGGGACCTTAACTGTGCTGTCGATGACATTTTTGGCCCTTCTTGGGATCCTTATACTATATAAAAAAAAGTTCGGAAAACTGTTTAATGTAAGTTTAATATTATATCTGAAAGTAACCAGATGGAAAAGGTAATCAAACCGGGCCTAGAAATAGAGACTCGAATAACTATGCTGCCCGAGTTGGTTACTAATTTTGTGTTAAAAATGTTTTAACACACCGCAAAACATTTATTTGTTTAGAACTCTTAGATGGTGAGCATTTGTTCTAGTTACCTAGTAATAAACGATTCGCTGGATACAGTTCCGTTCCTTTAATGTCTCCATAATCGACTCTTCTAAAGGTATCTGGATGATAAAGAAAGTATGGCATGGCAGTATATGACCTCTAAAAAAAGTTGTAATGCATTATCTTTCGGACAAGTCAAATGAAAGTTTCTGTGGAAATTAGTTGCGGATTCAAAAATGTTGGGGCTAACTCATCCATTGATCTATTTTAGCAATGCCACGAGAACGTTACCAAATTTCGTGCGTGAGTATGTTTAATAAAGCACGAAAAAAATTCAACTACTTTTTTTTCTCTAAAGATCACGATGATTTCCAAAGGAATCATTAATTCAGCCTTCTTTTTGCCTGCAGGATCAGAAACAGAGGCTGCCAGTCTCTTCAAGGGAATATAACGTAGTAGTCACAACTAACAAACACATCCATAAAGTAATTTTATTGTCTCTATCTAAATTTTAACTTTATGTCTTATTACATTTTTTAAAAAGTAAAATTAAATGAATCGAAGTATTGTGGTTTTTTCAAGCAAAATTTTGTAAACAAAGCTTGTGCCAGCTTTGGTCTATGTGTAGCTTCAAGCGAGCTTACGCAATATAATCTAGCTAGGAGCGCCAATGGAAGTAGTTATATCCTTACATAAAACTACGTCATAAAGACTTCGAATGTTATATATACGAGAAAATGTTTAATTATACAAGCTTTTAATGAAAATATGCTCGCTTGGGTCTTCATTGCTCTCTGGGGGTATCCTGTTATTAATAACAAACGGCCACATTTTATGTCTTAAAATGTGCTCAAACATCGCCAATGATAAAAATCTAAACTTCCTCAGTAATACTATTTTATGACGTTTCAAAGCACAGCAAAGATTTTACGTTTAAGAATCGACATGAAACTATTTTATATAGCATCACGTGAAACTTCTCTTAGTCGTGGTTATTTATATCTTTCGCAGACCTCGTCAACGTCATTTCCTGACTCAAAATGAAAGTCACCTTTAGTTCTCTTGGGGTTTAGCCCTGACCTCCTAGTAAATTTTTCCTAGTGGCTTTTTAAATTAATTCGTCCAGCCTGATAGTCAATATAACTGTCAGCTATCTGTACACCCGAGAAAACCTATCATTAGTAAAACCGCAACTAACAGACGTTTTCAATTTTTTTACACTAAATTCATACGTCGCCTTTGACGAAATGTGTTAGGAAATACATGTATACTTGGTCACTTCATTACAAGTAAATGACTAAGAGCAACTATTTACTCATATTCCGATAATCCTTTGAGAACCTCCACAAAGTCCAGCTTCTAATCTAAACATAATCATTACCTGATTTGTCATCAGAATTATTTCTTTGTTTATCGTATCTTTGGTTGATAAAGAATAGGTTCGCTAGATATTTGTTTTATCAGGATCTATTTGTTTATGCATCGCTTTGGCGACCCATCTACCCATCAATCGGTTAGTGGGACGATGTCTCAATCACAAAGCCATCCTCTAAACAGCAGTCCCATTGTCACTACCATTATCATTATTTTCGATTACTCCGAACATCACCATATTATATTTTCCCATTACACTTTCGTCCTCCCTAGACACTCCTGACGGGTCAGGGGCAGTGAGACCACTGAAACAACAGCAACTACGGCTACTGCTTTACCAATGCACCAGCGTCTTCTTTCCTGAATTTCGTCATTTACGTTGACTCGAAAATCTGTTTATCTGTCGTACGTTAGGCTAAACAGGTCGGCTGTTTTTTGCAGCTTCTGATAAACATGTCTTTATAGTCGTTCTGCCATGGCAACAGCCAACAACCATTGAATACTTGTCGCTATTGCACCTTCCGTTTACCATTCATCACCAACAACGGCCAAGGCAACAGCAACGGTAACGGCGGCGACAACGGCAGCAATAGTGCCATCACCACCCTTACCATTCTTTCGCTGCCGTGGTCGCCCCCCGTCCTGCCTTCCTTTATTTTTCTGTCGTCCATCGGAGAAAGAAAAAAGAAAAGATAGTAAGTAAGAGATTCTTCAGTAAACGTAAAGTCAACACTTCTCATTTACAGACTATGTGGCTCTACATTGCTTATTGCGAGTGGAAATACATGTGATGCATATTGTATTATTGTTTATAAGCTGTCATAGTTCTATAAAGGAGACGGTAACGAGCACCAGGCTTCAACGGCCGATAGGCTCTCAGCTTCAGTCTTCTCTCTCGTTCTCATTGTCGCGTTTTGCTCGCTGTGAACAATCTTTTATTGGCTCTCCATTCTGAAGTATTGCTTGTGTTACATTACTGGTATAGGTGGTCCCCCAACTCAAAGCCCCGCCCCATCACCTTGTAGCGCCGTCTGGTGGCCGCCGGGAGCACCTCGTCGGCGCCTGCAGCTGCTGTTGCTGCTGCTGCTGCTGCTGCTTCTGTAGCACCAGCAGCAGCAAGGAAGACGACAGCAACAATAGCAACAACGACAACAGTGGCGGTGGTGGTACTATGAAGCGTTCCATCGCTAGCTATATCTCTTCAGCTTCAGTTGTCTTCGGTAGGTTGAGGAGCGCGCTCGATGCAAACGTCTCACAAAGCTGCAGATACCGCAATTGCATGAGCCATTGGAGTCAACTGATAGTAACAGTTCAGCCATTGAAGAATTGCTAAATAATTACTTAAACTTAGTCAGTTTTCTTTATAACTGTATCTTTAATATCCGGACAATACATACTAAGACTTACAACCTCACATTTATTAATTTTCATAGAAACAGAAGAGTGATAATAAAGGGACAAACATTAAGTGTGACTTAAGGAAATTTGTGACAACAGAAGGTATCAGTTTCGCTTCAATAACAACCAACAACGAAGGTGCTATTTCGTCGTTCTTTAATCTCATAGGGCCTTCAGAGTTCTTAAACTCAAAACTCAGTGCCCGAAATTGGCTTATCACTCCCTTGGATACATGTGCGCAGTGCGGTTAATGTGTTGGACAAAGGCTTTTTTGTTTCAATCTTCGTTGCTACATATGGTTTCATCAGTATCATCAGTTAACCTGTCTTCACTCTTGGAATCTAATAAAGGTGTGTGCGTCGGCATAGAGAGAATTTAACTGCTGAAAAATATTTCGATAGAGAGTGGGTGAAACAATATGTAGATTAGATTCTATCGAACAAACTTAGCCCTGTGATAGCATTATCGCCAAAAATTGAACCAGCAAAGCTCACGCTCTCGACAACAGCATCCCGATTTTTCTCTTCAAATATATCCCTGTTGAAGGACACCGATGAGACTTCAATCTGCATGCAACTTGTGATATGGGCTGTTGATGCTCAGGAACGATGCCGGCCGTCACCGTTTGTGGCCGTTTGTCAAGCGCGCACTTCGTAAGTGTTGGCATAGGGGTCGTGAAGGCATTTCACGAAACGGGTGTGCAAGCGTCATATCTCCAGCAAACAAATGTTTCCTTGACTGTACTAGGTAAGGAAAGCTAATTTGGTCAGTAGAAATTGATTGGTGGCAGCTAAGCATGAAAAACCGGCAGCGCGCTAATTTCGACATATTTTCTCTTCATGTATAATCAAAAACGCTTAATTGGAGCAAATCTACTGAGCGTCTTATCAAATAGTTTGTTCAACTAATATTTTTTAATAATATGTGTAAGAGTCGTGAAAGAAAATAAAAATAATATAACCAGGTATTTCAAGCATTAATTAAAAAAAGGCAGTATTTAAGTGAAAGGCAGCTCGCCCCAACTACGTATTTATGCATTACCCTTCGTCTGTTTTCATCAGTTCAATACATTGAATTCGGAGTTACGAGTTCGGTACATTAAACTGTCGATTTTTCAATATTAACTGAATTTTGAAAAGCCTAAACAGACATTCATCTGGCGCGAACAACATATCGCATAAAACAGCCTGCAATTAAAATAACTGATATATTACCGATTCGTAGTGATGACCATAAACGGAAACACCTGATCGAAAAATATTTATTCAAAGTTTAAAACTCATATTGTAGGAATAGATGAATAAGTGCTATAGAATTGTATGCAGAGATATTTACAGTTAATTAGCACATTATTTTACTACGTTGCCAAACGCACCGTCAAATTTACCCATTCAACCCTTTACAAAATATTTTCCGAGAGGTCCATATCTTGTAGGTTTCAGTATATGCAATAGTTTATCCTTTTATACTTCCAGTACTTCCAACCTAACGTATGCAAAAATTCGAAAGGTGCCAACCCCTGCTTTTTAAACAAAACAAAATTTTTATTCTCGCTTATTCTAATGTGCATTCGAGAATGATTAATAAATGTATGAACCATGTATTTTGTCAAATAAGATTAATATGAAGGTACGATAAGGCACACTATATGAGCTTTCATATTATAGGTGTTAGTAAATCTAATATCTAATAAGTATCTTAATGTCGCATGCCATCCAGGCGGAACTCTCAACAAAAATACCAAATGAATAACGAATAAAACCCTGAAATATTTATAAGTGGGTCGCCTTCAGGACAGATCCCGGTATAGTTACAAACTACAGCATGTCTATTGTTGTTTTTCTATAAAAACGAGCTAAATACCAGAAAACGAAACAGATAAGAGGATTCATTTATCATTACGTCTTTTTCAAAGATCATCTTGATTTCTCTAATGACCTAATGTTTTGCATGCTGTTTTTCTACAGACTATAAAGTGCTTATCAATTTATCGAACTTATAAACTGCTAGATCATAAATGATTCGACTAGAGCGAGCTACCACTCTTGGAAATGGCTCTTCAGAAATTATTTAGACCTACAAGTATTAATTTCCGTTAGAACCATGGGAATTAAAAAATAAAATAGCTGCCATTGTTGGATGCGAAAGCTCATTGAATCGTAATATAAAACAAAGCGCTCCATGTGTAAAATTAAGAGAAGTTACTGAGTTTCTTGTAACTCTCTGTATATTCTTTCATGTATACAAACAAAGTATCATTGCCTATGTTTGGCATGTTCCCCTGATAACAGGTATAATGTTACTCCCTATTAAATACCAATCTTGTCCAAAGTCAAGCTTAAGTTTGGCCATGTCTTTTATATATATAAATATGACCCGCAAAGCGTTACCAGTGGCAACCTTCATGCGTAAGAAAAATTAGAGACCAATAGGCAGAGTAGCGACACCGCGTAAGAAGAATCATGAAGTTCTTTTACACGTTGTTTATTTCAAATATGCGCTTGATTTATTTAAAATTAAGTGGCACACAAAAAACGCTCTTGTCAGGGTCTGCAACTACAGTAGTCGTCGTTTCGTTCTCAGCTGGTCATCTCTCTATATACTGCCACTAAAGAAGTACATTGTATATTATAAATGTTACTTACCTACGATTTTAATACAAGTGAGCCATGGTAACAATCTGGAATGTTTTTAATGACTCTGTGGATTATTTATATTATCCACACAGCAAGCAGACATCTATATATACTGTTATAAAGACAAAAGTAAATTATGTGATAAAATGAGTAAGTATTCGCAAACGCGGGAATCACATCTCATATGCTAGAGATTATATAAGTGACAGGAAGTTTAGAATCGTAAAGCATCTGTTATAGACATGTGATAAATTTTCATCCACCTACATGTGTACATTAAATTGGTATGGCTAAAGTTAGTGCTTCGTTCTTCTGCGAGGATTTAATGATTCTTTGGCAGTTGAAATTTTGTCTCATAAAGTGCTGTGTTTTTATGCCGTCTATAGTTAAATTTCGACGAGCTAAAAGTCATGCTGCTGGATAAAAGTAAAATAGTCATTCAGGCGCACTGCTGCCAAAAACTATAAAGTAAATCGTGTTACGCGATTTGTGTATTACCGAACCCTTCTATTGCGAATCGTTTCCCTGTCTGATGCTAAAGTCTGTAGGTTTGTCTAACCGAAACACACTTCAGCATCGAAGTAGGAAATCGAACCGAAAAGTTATAGCACCAAGTGAAACCAGAGTCGATATGTGTCCTGCCTTTTGACGTTCTGTTATTTTTAGCTGTTATTTCGGTGCTGCCGCGAAACGCATCAGATCTCGGCTTTAGCTGGGTCGGTCGCTACCGGCTGATAACTTATCGCTAGGCGAGCTTTTTCTTGATACAGTAAGACGTCGAGATACGTCCGAAGACCGATAAAAACGAAGTCACTCGCCTATTCGTTTGATCAGAGATCGGATATGGGTTCATAGGTTCTGCGCTCTTTTCTTAGCACACGATGACATCAACGACGACAACGACAATGCATTAGGAGTCTAGCTAACGAGCCTACGATTGGCAAGGAAATGACGCACCACTGAAATATAGGAAAAAAAAAGGTTTAGTGTGAAGCAAATACCTATGCATATATGTATATTCACCTGTCTTTACCGACAGTAGGCTATGACTGGCAATTTTCAATAAGACATTAATCCAGTCGGACTCATTATGAGCTCTAATTAGTGGCTACTTTATATTATTGTAAAAGAAATACATATTTCATAGACAGAGGTGTGTGTAGCCTTGATGATATAATTTTGGGCCAGATACCAGTGCTTATCAATAGACCTCAGAGTTGTGACATTGCGTGTCTCCATGGCCGAATTCTCATTTTGGCAATGCAAGCGTTTAACAAACGCATTAAGTCACCCGGAACAAGGATCATCGAAATATGTGGAATGATATAGTTTTTTTGTGTACGCTTTGGAAAGAATACATAACCCAGCTAAAATGTGTGAAAGTTCAAGTGTACTCTCGTAGTATATAACTATAATACAAAAGACTAAATTAAAACAAAAAAGCAAGTGAGCTGTTTCATAAGTAGACCCCAGTTTCCCGATAAAGTGCGGCGCAAACCATAGCACCACGATATGAATGTTTTTAAAACGGGATTCAATACGTTTTATCCAATTCATAGTATTCTCAATATACACGCATATTCAATATTTAGTACTAGGCCAGTAGGCTATATTTGTACAGCACTGACGTGACCGGCGCACGTTTTGATCAAATTATTTTTGATCAGCTTGATTTGCTTTTGCGTAGATTTTCGGATTTATAGTGGCTGATTTATATCGTGGATTTGTAGGAGGGATGCTTTTAGTGATGTTTGCTGCAATTTCACACTCTAAGCGTTGTGTGGTCAACTAAACACTTAGTATTTTGAAATGCTGCTTTCGAAAAATGTGAATAGCGGCAAAGACTAATCATAACATGTTGGAAGACAAACGTTTTGTTACATTTCGAAAATGTGACGTTCCTGTCCACCTGTTTAAAGTCGCTGTTGTCTATTAAGTTGCGCCTAAAGAAGTTGCGAGCTTTTCTGTTACAGAGTATTCGTGTCGTTGATGTAATACTTTCGTTCGCTTGTATCCAAAAAGTTGGAAATCCAACGTGGTTTGTCGTCCGTGGTATTTTTGCCCTGTGCTCACGGGTGAGCACAGGGCAAAAATAGGCCATCTGGAATCATCGAATCTTTGATAAATAATAAATATGCTGCGCATACAACTGGCAGAAGTTCTAAGATCAATTCAATCTAGGGACTATGGTTCCGAGGAATTATTTCTGCTGAGTTCCTTCAAATATATTATTATAAGGCTTATTGCTCAAGAAAGAGCAACCGCTTTCGAAAACTTATTTCTTGGTCATACGGTTTAGTTTTTTGTTAGAGATAGCACCAATCGTACTTGTAAATAAACAGGAACCATTCGAAAGTGGATCCTTCGATCTTTTAAAGTATTTCCATTTAGAAGGCAACACATTCAGCACTATCTCTAAGTACTGAAACATTTCAATCATTTTGTTTCTAATCATTATCACAACCAAATCTAAGCCAATGATGTCAACATCTCTATCTCTTGGACTACTCCAGTTGACAAGTAAAAGGAATAGTTGTAGGAAAAACAAAAATAAACTTCAACGCAGTTATTGTCATTAATAAATACACCTTAAACAAAAATAATCGATATGTTAAATTCTTTTGGTCCATCACATAGTGTTTCATTCCTATCCAAATTTTAACGCGACGTTGCTTCAATCGAATGAAAAATCTAATAATATTCAAAAATGGTTATGGTTAGAGTATATAATTACTACTTCTGATTACTTCATTTACTTTTAGAGGTTGTTGTTGATGTATACTAAATGTATTATAGTAGAAACATTAGAACAAAATGGAGCCAACATTTTGCCTCTTCACGTCGTTTTTCAGATTTAGTAGTCATGCTCGTCCGAAATTTCTCGAGTCCAACAAACTTAATATTTTATACGAATGTATTTACTTGCCACAACATTCAGCATTATAATTATGTGGTTTAGAAATTAAGTGGCGCATGGTAGTGCCTTGGAAATGTAAATACGTATAGTTCTCGCAAAAAGATCGTAGTCTTCAAAAGGTCTTTGGTGAAAGCATACTAAATATCCAGGGAACTTTTTATAAAACATTAGGCAAAGCGTCATTAAATATTGCTTTTAGCTAACAGAGAAGGCGACTAACTCCTCCGTTTGATGCTTCAAATCCCACCCTTACTCCCAATGTTAATCTTTCGTATCTCAGCAAGTCTGTTATATTTGAATAAAACATGCAATGTTTCTTTAAAAAGAGCGTGAACCAAAACGGTGAAAAGTTAGCTTAATTTTTGACCTCAGCTTTCTAATGATTCTGGAGAAACCATAATTACTATTAAAGTGAAGATAAAATATTATTAAATTATACGCTAAAATAAAAGTTTTTTTTTAATTTAGCAATTTAGTTTTGCGGAATCCCTCCTATACCGGTACGTACATCGATGAGGTGGCGTATATATGTCCTAATTAGTACTTAACGAAGACCAAAATAAGTAATAAAATCTCAAACTAGCCGTTGGATTGTATTTCTCCTTTTAAAATAAGAACCATTTTTGTAAAGAACTCTACGCAGCTTCTGGACTAAAACGCATCCTTTAATAGCAGCCCGATCCTCTATCGGAATACCCCCCTGAAACGTCTGTTCTGTCTTTTTTCGCCTGTATTTTAGGATCCGCATAGCAAATTTAACAGTGGAATTTTTGGTCTAAAATGCCCATCTCGATGGCATCTTCTGACTTATTCGGAGGACACCTTCACATCGCAGCAATATGTCTCGGACAGCAGCAAAACGCCAACAAGGAGAGACAATCTGCCAACTACCTGTCATAGCGAGCAAGGGATCATCTTTCCAAAAACGCTCCACTCGGACCCACTGCACAGACAGAACCCACCGTTCGCTGAAGCGACAGGTAGAAGTCACATGGATATATTAATGTGCTTCAACGAGATCCCTATGAGTATATATGTCGGATGACCGCTCGAACTGGTGTAGGGATTGCTACACTGATTAGCATGGAGTGGACAGCGCCAGCACCCATAAGCTGTATTCGTTATCAGAGGCTGCTATGGATAACCGCCTGACTGAAGACCTAAATAACACTGGATGCCATCCGTGCTTGCGAAAGCATCAACAGGAAAGCTGATGGGCCCCGAAGTAGCTAGCAACAGAAAAGTTTTATTGTCTGATTAATATTCGAATTATATTGTAGATCTTCCTTTTTTGGGGCTCATGCCGATGCTGTTATTTCCGATTTTGACTTGGGTGATCGGGGTTTTTGGTCGCGTCTTTAAATAGGTGTCTGCTGTCTGCTTACAACAACGACAAATATAGAATTGGGCCCCACGTTAGGAGTGGCCGCCAACGCAATGTTGTTTCAAGTGGAAACAGTTCGTTGACTATTTCGTATCACTGCTGTACTATATTAGGCATACTGAGAAATTATTGGAGATGTAGTATATCATACATAGTCCCACGCAATTTTTATCTATTATTGTTTTTTATGCAAAGGTTAAACCTTCTATCAAAAGCAAGGTGTGGTGGAGTTACTGCCGTGGTGAAGCAGAAATTTCTATCCGATGATCAAAAAAATAGGTATAAGCGGCCGCACTTGCACAGGACACTGATACACGGCCGATGACATCGGAACATTTTCGCTGTCACACAAACATTAAGCGCCTTGCAGTCTTGTTACATTGCCAATGTAACATTGATGCTAAATGCCTGTTGCAAAAGAAGACAAATCTATGTTGAGCGATTTTAGGCGTAGCTAGATAACAGTTTTTGCTATACCTACCACTTTTCATAGTAATAGATAGCATTTTATAGGAAAAGACTTTTCATACTTAATATGCAGTAATTGATAAAGTCTTCAAACATAGAGGTAAAGTGTCTCTCTATCAAAAATGTACTACACAAAGAAGCAATGGATATATAGGCCTTTAATTGTATGTTTAACATATCCAACAATCTTGCAAAACTGCATGATTTGAAATTTGAAAAAATTAGCATTGTTGTGGCATATATAGCAGAATAAAGTGTCGCGTGACAGTCGTCACCGGTATCGCGCAATTGTCGGATATACACTGACCGTAAAGCGCTATTGTGCCGTGTTCGCTGCCTAGGTTACCGTATAGGCTCTATCTCCATAATTTGTAAGAAATATGTGTACAGGAAGTACGGGGGCATAACTGGACGCATGATTTTTTGGTGCGCTGGAAACGTTCTGAACCCCTTGAATAACATATTCTTGAAAAGATTCTGTTAGTATAGAGGAGTTATAATTGTCTGTCCATCAGTGTTGTTGTAATGCGTCTCAGTTGTATTAGTTCTACTAACTAATCCACAATACTTAATCTGGAATGACGCTTAACAGGAAAATGCTAACCTTTCGAGCATTAGTCTCGGGTCAAAATTGTGCCGTTATAAGGCAACTAGAGCAAACAATATTGTATACACATAGTTCATGTATATAATTTCTGACCTATGAACAACAAGGAACTTGCAAACTTTTATCATCAAAAAAAATTAATAACACCTTAAACGCTATTTTGCTTTCCAACGCATTCTAGATAGATCTGTACGTTAAAAGACATTTTGTATAAAACGAGGCAATATATGGTAGTATAGTTACACTAAATCTAAAAGTAATAATATAATATGATTTTAAACTTTTAACGCGATTGATTAGAGAAATTATAAACTACTTTGTTTCAAAATTTCACGTTAACTTTGTAAGTAAAGTTTGTACTGCACGCTTGTGGTGTGTTAGTACTGACTCTTTTGAATAAAATCCATTTGTGTTACTTTGTTTATCACTCTGTTGGTGGGTTCTTAATTTGTTTAGTAGCTATTAAATAGCATGTTAATTTTGAGGAACACTTCATTCTCGATTGTTACTACAAGGTTTTTTTTTTAATAAAATCTGTTTTTTAACATATACAAAGCTACATGTGTAATTTAAGAAGGTCTTCTCAAAGTTTTGTAACTATATAATACAATCTATTTGTCTATCATAATCATGACACCTATTAATAATGTTTTATTCTTCTTGTTTTGTTTCATTTTGTTCTTGCAGGTAAATTGTGTATTTGATCTCCGCCTCACTGATTTGAAACTATGCGCTTAGTTGAAGCGGGTCTAAACCGATTCATAACATTATTGTTAGTGATTACGAGCGTCGATAATTGTCGACCCTACGGGCTGGGTTGAAGTCCCTATTGTATCTTCCGTATGTTCGTCGAATCGTGCAGAGATTTAACCAAAAAGCATCGGAACGTCAAGTTACTTATCTTATTTAAAGGAGTGGAGATAAGTGGTACGTTCTTGTTGCCACGCCTCTATGAAGATGTAATACTTATTTGTCTGCCTATCAAACTTATCGGCTACATAAAATAGTGATCTAACTCTATCTAAACAGCTTTGAAATCAACCTCAGACATTTTTCGCTTCACGTCGAAGGCCAGCTGTCTAAATGCCAATGCTTTAGCATCAAAATGTATTACTTAGTTAAATATAGGTTTTATGCTTCAAATGTCTAAATAAGCTTGCCTGATTTGTTTGCATTCGTCGTACTATAAATATTTTTACTGTGTCACAAAGGCGTTTAGAGTCACGCTTCAACGCTGCAATACCATACATAAAATTGAAATATTTATTTGTCCCACGTGGGGCCTCTATTAATCCAGCTCTAGTTAAAAAGGACACGCTGGTTACAAATGAATAGAATCTATCTTCTGATGACAGTAAAACCTATCGGTATTAGTTATAAAGCTTTCTGTAGTGGATTCCATATATATAGCATGGAATATACTCATTGCATATTATTTTAATTTAATGTATGAAAAGAAAAACTGTACATGTGGTACAAAATAATAACGGCCTGTGACAAGTCTGGTATCTCCGAATGTTATATATTAGAATACTTAATATATATCATACGCAGCGGCTATCTAGAGCCGTAGTTTTTTTTCTCTATTTTGGTCGAATTCTTCTGAAATATCTGCGCCTTTCTTTGCTGGTTTCAAACGCCATCAAATTTTCGCTGGGATATGTATAGCGGATCAGCAGATGTGTTCTAATGTTGTTGCTACTACTCTCGCTGTAACTGCTGTAGCGGCGAACGAGTCCTAAACCGGTTTTCCCATCTTGCGAGCTTTTCGACCCATGGCCAACGCCTGCTCGCCTCTGCCCCATTGAAACTGGCGAAATGGTCACATAGTGGAACAGGGCTTGATAATGGTGCGTCTGATAGTATAGTGGGTATTTCAACAGAACTCATCTATGTTCTCCCCCAGGTTAGTTCCTATGCCTGTTCCCTGCAAGTTCTTGGATATTCGGTCGACATAATGCAGGAATATGAGGCTAGTTGGCCGCCCACCCTTTAGCGAGGCACCCTTCGCTGTCCCGCTTGTTTTGCTGATCACATCACTCCGCTCAGCGGCACCACCTTTCGCCTAGTTTATCTAGTCATCGCATTACATCTTGAATGCGTGACAACCGGGTGACCCAAATTTCTCAGTCCCTTTTTTGCTTTAAACCCAATCTAGAAACATACCCTTTTGCCACTCAGTCAGGCAAACGAGCATAAAGGTAGTACTTATTTATCTAAGCTCCTTTTCTGTACAAAATAAAGCAGTTTACATTATTTATAAGCACACAGGAAGAAGGTATCTAGATTGAATGGCTAGCGCCACTTGTGAAACCCAATTTAGTTAGAGCTTAAGTCACCCAATAGCTTAGTATCAATATCCCTAATATAACAATATTTTTGTCCTCATTAACAACTGCAAATATTCCTGCAGTACACACTTCTTATTCTAAGTTTTTTGAAAAGACCATTTTCGTTCTCTAACTTGTCCATATTATTCGAGGGTTGAAACAAATACATGTTTTTAAATATTATTTTAAATATAGAGCTATATAGATTTTATTTAAAATGTAACTAGAAAAACCAACTGATAAATTTACACACATAGCAAATTAATACTGGTGATTTGGTGGGACGCCCCTTGGTCGATGTTTTTTTGAAGATAATTTTTGGTCTTTATTTATATAACCTGTTACAAATTACAGGTACGCGCTTTAATCGACGTCAATGGTTATTTAAAGCTTCCCGAAACTGGCTGGCCATAGTTGCCGTACTTTTATGTACATTTACATTTTTTACAAGCCCTTGTATGATTAGAATTTGTGCACATCAGCCTTTAGTAACCGACGTACTGAGGCAAGCATCGCATCTGCAAGCAAAAATGGTGTGCCGGGCAAAACGTCACATTTAGTGGTGACTCCCACGCTACTAGCACAACAGAGGGTCACCTATAATATAATAATTATACAGAACCCTCTCAATGTTAATGCTATTAACAAAGCTAGACCAAAATAGTAGACAGTAATGTTAGCTCTCCCCAGAACTTAGCTCGTAGGCTTATTATTAGTCAATTCGCTTGCATTTTTATGGGTTTTGTTTTGTAAATTACTGTAGTAAAAGGTGCATAGATCGGGTGAATGTCTTAATGTATGTTTGGTAGCCATAGTTAATAAGTATAAGATAATGATCAGCGATGGAAAGGTATTTTAGAACGGTAGAACCTGAATGCCTAGATGATAAAAAAAGATATATTTTACGTAAAATTGCCTATAGCAAGAATGTAAAAACCAGAGTATTTGGTTTCATTCTTACATTGCCCTTAAGTTTATGCCCTTAAAAGACGAATGTATTATTAGATTGAATTTAATTAACATTTAGCTTTTGATTTCCTTCGTTATGTTTATCCTACTTTTGTTTATTATTATTATCATGCGAATGCTATGCCGCTTTATACAATCAGACAGATATGTTGCTTGGAAGTCAAAGCGATTCGCCACAGGTACAATTTTCTGTTTTTTTTTTCAATCATGTTCTGTATCAGATGATCTATTTTTTCCGATTTTCTCTTCTCTTTTTCCCATTCTGAAGTTGAGCAGGGTGTGTTCTTTTTCGGCTTGATTTATTGTAATTGCCTCGGCTGATTCAGTTGCCTTGCCACGGCTCGAAGGTCCCCGAACTGGCGATGACACAACGTTGCAAATGATCGTTGTCGATAGTTGCCGTCGCATTAGACAAGAACGATTATTTATTCCGAATGGGTTATTGCAATAGTGTTGCGCAGTAAGCTAGCAACCTCTTAAAAAGCGACATTAGAACATCTGAAACAGTTGGTAGAATTAATATTTTTAATGTATTTAATGGTTACCCACTCAAAGGGAATGAAACGGTATAAAAAGTGTGTGTTTTTGATTATTATTATGATTATTCGATGTACTACAGCCGAATACTGTCACAGCATACACGCTGGGCTTCTTATCATTTAGTCCTAGGATGTTTAAAGTAGGTAAAGCACTACGATAAGATAACGAAGCCGACTTAATATTTTGAATACAGCCATTTATGTTATGAGAAGACAAAAAAAATTGAATCTACAACCTAAAAGTTTATGGTTTCTATTTTTGGAATTACACTAATTTCAATGTTATACGGATTTAAGTTAGGTAACTTTTGCTCTATTATCTCTCTCTCTTTGTGTACGCCAAGCAAAATTATTAAAAGCAATCAGATCAAGAAGCTCTTGTTTTTTGTTTTGAAAAGAAAAAAGTTTGTAAAGTATAGTGAATAATATGTACGGTTAAATGAAGAATATGTAGTAACTTATATAGTATATTGCGTTGAAAAGACGGACATATACAATGCCATGTTCCATGTATCAAAACCAATCAAAAATCTGTAATAATACAACGCGTTTTGATTTTCATCTGAGTTGGTGATGATATGCAGCAGCAAGGTGAAGTATAAGTTGTACACTACATCACTCAAAACAGAGATCAGAAACAGTCGTAATTGACTGTCAAAATTCATAAGAGAACTATGAAAGATAATAACATCATATTTTTTGTTATCGATGTTCTATTTAAGCCTACTTTTCGGTCATTATGTTGTTCAATGACAATGACGGTGCTGATACGAGTATTCGGAACAACTGTTTTGTGTAAGTCCAGGTAATAAGACACCGGTAATATGATTCCATAATCCTTTAATTTTGTTAATAGATCAATAATGGCTCCGTGTAATGTGTCTTATGAGTCGAAATCTCTGTTTCATTAACAATATGTACTGTAAAGGTCGAAGTCATTGGCCAGGACACCGTCTAATCTAAGATCTGGACGTATTGAAGCTAGTGAGGTTGAAAGAGCAAAAGTAGTGTTTAATACTGCTTCTGCAAAGGAACAAATCAGTTAACTATTCCCTGATAGTGAACTATTTTTCTGAGGGCCGTAAACCATTCAGACTATCATCCCTGCATACTGCGTATACAGACTCTATACTATGATACTGATTAACGCGCTATACTAGTAGAACAGACATATGAACATACATATATAATACATAATGTGCGTGACACTAACAATTGCCACGTTTACTAATAAAAACTGAGTGCAATACCAAAGTATGAAACTGTTGAGGGTAAATACGAGTTATAAATTTTCACATATATTTCTTTATTTTGCCGAAATGAAATGACGCTAAGTTCCCTCGATGATGAGGCGCCAGCAACGACTTTAGACATTTTAACAGTTCGGTTTTATAGTATTCTAGTTATATTTATCGGACTTCAGCGTACCTAGGTTCAATAAATATTAAGTGTTAAATCGAGTCGAAGTTTGAACTCTAAGTGTAGACAGGTTAATGTTTTAATAGTACCACTACACAACGGCGTGGCTTGGATGACTAATGCGCATCTCTTTTAACGCATGGCAATAGTAATCATAACTAGCGAGCTCGCTGCCACGCTAACTCAAATTTGAGCGTTCGCAACTAGAAAATGAAGGGAAACTAAAGAATCAAGGAAAATAGTGTATTATTATTTAGCTTAATAGCTGATTATACAGTTGACATGCCATTTTATAGATATGTTAGAGAAACTACAAATAAGTCCAGTAAAACTCACTCCGCTTGGGCTCCTAATGGGAGTAAGTCTTTGATGCTATACCTAAATGCAGGTGACTCTAAAAATGTATCTATCGGAAGATAATAATTGAAAGTATTAAATATAAAAAGCAAAAAGATACACAATAATATAAGTATTTGTCGCGGCACATAGGTATTATACTCCACCTCTAGGAAAGATCACCTGAGTGTAGCTATAATTTAAGATTGTTTCACCTGGCTTTGAATTAATCAATACATTAAATAATTCGCATTTAGCGAATGAAATTGAAGAAATTAGCTAAACACCCCTTTAATAGCACCTTCAAATAGCATCGAGAATATCAAGAATTGCC